TATTTTTTTTTAATTTTTTTTTTTATTTTTAAACTTTTTGTTTTAATTTCTTACCCATAAAATTAACATTGACTTTGATAAACCTTTTGTCGATTTATCTTTATAAGATTTAATTGCTTGTGGCACAAGTTGAAAGCTTAAACATGCTGTTCCTATTATTCCAAAGACGTATTCCAAAATTTCCTCTTTCATCAGTTTTTGTTGTAAATTCAAAAATTTTTTTTTTTTCAAAATTTAAATCATTTTTAAGTATTTATTTACTTATTTATAAAATTAAGTTTTGCTTTTGTGAATTGAATAAAATTTGCTAAAAAATTTTTTTTTTTTTTTGTGAAAAATGTATTATCTATTTAAATGTTAAACATTAAAACTTTAATGCTGCTTTTCAACAAATTTTATTCCTTCCTCTTCTAACTTTTTAATTAATGGTTCATAAATGTCACTAAAAAAAGTAAAAATTAAATCATTTAAAAATGAACTTTTTAACTTGCCTAGTCATTGGAGCAATTACCCCCTTTCTATGATTTAATTCTCCATTTAATAACATTTCCACTCCCATCGCTGCAGGTAATCCAACTGTCTTGGCCATTGCACTATATCCACCTACTTCTCCATACGCAACTAAAGTTGACGTATGTGTTTCAATTTTTCCCTCTGCATATTCAACTTCAAATTCATGGTGCATGTATACTGCATCTTTTTCATTTTTTTCATAAAGCATGTTCAATTGTAAAAGTGCACAAAATGCATCCAAAACAGATGGTGGTGTTCCTGCTGATATTGACACTATAGTTGAAGTTTCTAGCATTTTAAGCCTTCAGATACCACAGAAAATTTTAGAGAAAAAAAATTGTAATTTTATAATTACCATTTAATAGTTTCATAAATTCTTAACGCCAATTCTTCACTAACTTCAAAACCCTTTTGAACTAAATTAATGCTAGAATTAATTTCTTTTAATTTTATATAAAGGGTTTTCTGCAAATTTTCCAAATTGGTTAAATTTAAAATTTTTTTTAAAAGATCAGGCTATTTGTGTAAAAAAAAAAAAAAATTAATAAAACAAAATAATTTAAATGAAAAATTACCCAGGTCATTCCATTTATACTTGGGGTTTCTTTAACACTAAAGAAACCCAAATCATTAAATCCTGCCATCAGTTCTGAATAACCCACATATCGTAAAGTTCCTCTGAACATTGTTTTAAGTTCATCAATGTGGCCCAATTTGTATTTCTCAATATAACTTAACGAGTCTCTATTTGGTAATCCTTCTAATGCTAACCCCTTATTGATTTGAACTTTTC